TGGTATTTATCAATTTCTTACGTTTTCAGTTATAAAAATGGCAGTAAATTCATTAAATATTGGTTGGATAACTTTTTTTTATGATTCAGCCTTTTTTTCTTCCTACTTTTTGCGGTTTGTTAGAAAAAATTAAAAAAAAACGATTTTTTTCAAAAACTGTCCTTTGACGACTCCTACTGGTGAACCAATGCGAGTTACAAAAAAAAACTCAAAAGCAATTTTAAAGAGCGTGAAATTCCCCATAAGGTGTAATAAACCGATTTGCAATATTGTCAAAGGTGGGTAAGCATTAGAAATTTGAAAAAAAATATATATTTTTTACATGCATTTTAAACGGTAAAACTTTAAATTTAAATAGTAAGTGCTTAAAATTAATATTAAGAGCTCAAATTTGGTGAGAATGTTTTTTCCTATATGCAGATTAATATTTTGCTTGAGCACCGATAAAAAAACAAAAACTTTGCGGAAATGAATCACCCTACTGTACAGTCTAGAAATAACTCAAAAAACATTACTAAAAATTTTATTTAAAAAACAAAAAAAATTCAACAAATGCTTTTTTTAGTGAAAATTGCATTATGACTATAAAAAATTAATATGGACCTACGTAAATCGAAACAATATGCCAAGATGGGTACATTTTTATGAAACTAGATCTCACAAGTTTTTACTACCACCACGTTGTAAAAAATTACACACACGAAGATCTATAGTTTACCCAGGACCTAAAATATATAATCTTATATCACCTAATTTAAAATGTTTAAAACTTTTAGAATTAAAAAAAAGGCATTAGATCATATATATTAAGTAACCCTAACCTGCTTTACATTCTCTTAATAGTTCTTCTTTTAAATAATTGTATATGTATCGTTTATTTGTCTTTTGTCGCACTTCCTTAATTCTTGTTTTGTTTTTTTTTAATTAATGAATTACATTTATTATTATTATATATTATCATATAATTATATATTATTTAATTTACTATTACTATTTACTCTTATTATTATTTACTATTTAATTCGCACACAAATGTAAATTTAGGCGAATCACCAATTATTATTTTGTTAATACTAAAAAATGTTATAACAAATAAAGATTATTTGATTTGATTTGAAAAAAAATTGTTCACATTGTTTAACAGTATATGAAAAAAACTATATTAAATTATTATTTAATACTTTGTTAATAATTATTTGTAAGAAATATCGAATATGCGTTCTGGATGTGTCAAGCATTATAGTTATTACATAACACTTTTGTATGACTAATTAATTGTAAATATGATTAATTATAAATACGTTTTGTTGAGGGCATTCTTTTACGCAGTCCCTGAGAGTTTGGTCGTTGGTTATTATATTTGTTTAGTTCTCTAATTTAATTCAGCTTTAAATTAATACCTAATAATTAAAGTTTTTGAGTGTTTTGTTAATATCGCCTTCAGTGCAGCGATGGGATAAAGGACTTTTACAAATCCGAAATTAGCGATTGTGGCTGTTTATTTTGGATACGTGAAAAGTGGAACCATATCGAAATGGGACGTCACTCAGAACGAAGTAGTAGTAGAAGTAGTGAAGAGTCAGGACGCTATCGAAGCCGTAGCAGGACTGCTCGTTACGTAAGTGATCGTTCATTGCGTACAAGTGGACAACGACAATCTATAGCAAGAACTCCACCATTAATTTCAGCAAAGTGACTCAACCTAAGCAATCAGAAGCTGATATAATTGCTGAACTGGAAAGTCTAGTTCATAAATTGATAAATCCCGAAACGAAAGGGCAACAAGATTACGTAAGACGAGATATAAATCGTTATGCCGGTCGTTCAGACGGTATACCAGAATTTTCGCCGGAACGGGAACCGCAAAAGGTGGCTAGAAAAGATAGAACAAGTTTCTATTATCAATGGATGGAACGAGTTGGCTAAAATTTCCCACATGCAAAATCGGCTAACAGGACTTACCAGAGCATGGTATAATGGCCTTACGTCATACGATTATTTATGGAGCGAATGGAAACAGAAAGTTTTGTCGACTTTTCCGGACCATCACGACTTTGCCAATACTTTGAAGAAAATGATTGCTCGTAAGAAACTACCGAAAGAAACATGGCATCAGTATTACTTTAATAAAATGCAATTAATTAGAGCGTGCAAAATCGAAGGAAAAGATGCTGTATCGTGCCTTATTGATGGTATTGACAGGGGCGTACCAAGGCACACTTTTTTGGGGAGGTGGAGACGATAAAAAAACCAACTTATTTTTTTATCGATACTTTAGTAGTAATAGTAAAAATTTTCAGTAGTTTTATCATGAAGTGTTGTAAAGTGTAGATAAAGAATGTCTTTACCTACCATTAGCATGCTCTTTTGAAGTCTCTATTTTTTTTATTTGCTACCAATGTAAGTGGATTATCCGGAACAGTAACAATTTTAATTTTAACCAAATTTCCACCGTGAATATTTTCCTCGTGCATTTTTTTCTAGTCCTTGTTAAACACAGATCCACATAATGAGCATTTTACTAGAACTCGGCCCGGTCTAGCTTTCTTTTCCATATTAAAAAAAAATTAATTCCTATTTATTGACACTAGTTTTACTTAGCTTAGATCTATAAGCTTCAACTAATTAATAATTTAGAAAGACAAAGCCGCGAGGCAATGCCGACTTTGTACATGCCGCTTGTGTGAAATATAATGACCTTTAATAAAAATAAGGTTGACCAATACAATTTTCTTGACGGTAACGATTATGGGAGGTTACAATAGATAAAAAATTATAATTTTGTAATATGTAGGTAAAGTTTAAAAATTGTATTTCATTTTATTTATTGTGATGGGTTGGTTGGTAGGGTAGGTATACCCAACCAACCCACCCAAATACTATAGATTTTGCCAACCGTGTTTGGATTTGGAACCAACTGCCAAGACTTTGGGGGGGTGACTCCCCCCCTACACCCCCCTTAGGCCCGGCCCTGGGTATTGATAACATAACAACGCAAACAGTAGCCAAGGCTGGACGTTATGAGGGCCCTGAAGCCTTATATGTGGAATATTTATCAACTTTGGCGCCATATACTGAAAAGAGGCATAGTGGCAAAGTAATTCCGCAAAGATCCAAGACACCAAGCGAACGTTATGGTAAATTTTCAAAGAGCTTTTACCCTTATCATCAAGAAAAATCAAAGCTAAGGTGCTTTAATTGTCGCGAGGTAGGTCATGTGGCAGGCCACTGTTCGAAACCAAAGAAAGAGTGCCCCAAATGTAAGCGTTTGGGACATTTGGCAGCGGATTGTAGACGTAGTACCACCCTTACAACTGGTGCCGTTTTGGCAAGCACAGAGAAATTGAATAGCCACCAATGTAATTACTTTGCAGACTGTTTGGTAAATGGCATTCAAACGAAAGCTTATGTTGACTCCGGTTGTGCTTGCGTTTTAGTTATTAATAAGCTAAAACATGGGGCTTAAAGATAATACCAGTAAATGTACGTATAAAAGGGTAAGGCTTTGGGAAAATGTAATATTCACTTGCAAATAGACTTGGCAAAAGTAGATGTCGAAGCGTTAGTTATTGGTACTCTCACAAAAAACCCTGCGATTGTCGGGCACCCAGTTATAAATTCAAATGGCACATCTATGATAGTGCATAAGGGCAATGTGAGACTGATAAATAGTGAAGAGGAATCGGCAACAATTTCCAAGGCGATTGAGCAGCTACCAGAAAAGAAAGTGGTTCTTTGGGCCAAGGAGGCAACAGTGATACCACCAAACCATGTTGGGCATATCATGGTGTCATGTTTGGAAAACAATTACCAAGGAGAATATTAAAAGACAATGTACCTTAAAGAATAATAGAATAATTTAAGATTCCAAAAACAACATAAACATTTCCTTTAACATTGTTTTGTATTATAAATCATTCATATTTCACACCCTGAAAGTTTTAAGAAAATCTAATAAGGTCAGCTTTTAATTTTGGTCAAATTTGGTTAAAAAAGATAGAATGACTCTATATACATATAAAAAAATATATAAATATAAGGCAGAAACAGGGTCCGTCGATAGCGCAGTGGGTTAAGCTACCAAGCCGAGACAAACTACGTCCGTCGGTACTGGGGTCGATCCCTTACTGCCTTAGGTGTTGTGTGTGTTAAAGTCGGTAGATGAGTCCAACTATACCATTTTAAAAAGTGGTTGCAGGGGTGATTTATCAAGGACCGTTGCAACGCGTTGTTTGGATTCCACGTTAAACAGTAGGTCCCGCAGAAGGACCAGAAATAAGCTGGATAGGTCGATACCGTTACTACTCTACTTTTTAAGCCGAAACGCTACCAAGTAGTATTACATTTACATTTAGTATTTTTTATTATAATTCTCTGAGCATATTGACCATGTTTACATTAGGTTAGATTAGTTTAAAATAACCATCAAGTGACTATAAGGTCTACAGCACTGCGGCCCAAAACGGCTATTGTAGCTCCTGTAACTCTCATCCCACTGTTTCCAGATTGCTTGTAGCCAAAAGCTTTCGAAGCTTGGAGAATGGTTTCTTGTAGTCACCTTGTGTTGGCTTCTGGCTATCAATCTGGCTGAAACCATCCTGGTGGTGTTTAGTGCTCTTGGCAAAACATACATGTGGCCTTGTCGCTCTACTTGTAAGGCCTATAGTGGCCCGTAATTTTTAGTCAAGAGTACTTTTTTTTTAGATTCAATATTTCATAGTAACAATTTGCTTGTTAAAATATTACTATTTTGAGGTTACAGCTATTAAAGCGCTATATATTAGTTGTCAATAGCTAAAACTTAATACTTATTTGCTTGACGCCGCTAACACTTATTACGACTTTTAAAAAACAGTGAACGCGTTTTTAAAAATACATACATATAAGTTTGAACGGCGTTAAGCAAATATAGCTGTTTGACTCGTCACTAGTCCAAATCAACCAATAAAAGCCAATTTTTATTATTTAACAATTAAACTATTAGAGTAAAATATTTCTAGGTCTGCCATGTCATCGAGTTCTTACATCGGATAAGGATAATTTAACATTAGTTTTTAATGAAATGCAGAGATTGGAAGAAGAAGAAAATGAGGAAAGTGAAAATGAAGAAAATATGCAGAACTCTGATTACGCTAACATTCCTAATGATTATATTGATGAAGATCGTTTTTTTCCCTTTCAAAAATTTAAATACAAAACTAATTGTTGCTACGGATTATCCATGGATCTTTTAGAAAATATTGCACAGGAATTGGAATTTGATTTTCGATTATATATTGTTGCTGATGGGCTTTATGGTTCTAGAAGTATTATTAAAACGAATAAAACCAAAAGAGATGTTGGCAAAAAGTTTTTAAGTTATAGGTTAGTATAGTAAATAACTGTACGAACGTAGAATATATCCAACAAAGTTCTTTTTATATGTTAATGTATATTTTTAATATTTGCTTAAAGGCTATCACATCTTTATTTTAATGTTTGTTTTAGATTCAAGGACGGCTTAGTAAAAACTGAAAGAGAAGTTGTATTTGAAAGCGATGAAATAAAAATTAAATGGAATGGGGTAGTTGGAGATTTAGTTTCTGGAGCAGCACATATGTCTTTTGCTGCTTTAAGCGTTTCCAGTGTACGAAGTGAAGTAATTGATTTTAGTGCGCCCTACTTTTTTAGCGGAGTATCGTTTATAGCCGCCCCTCAGCAGAAATCGGAAATTCCCCTTATGGCATTCCTACTGCCGTTCTCCCCGGAATTATGGATTGCAATCTTTACAAGTTTGAATATAACAGCAATCGCCGTAGCTATCTACGAGTGGCTATCGCCTTTTGGACTGAATCCCTGGGGGCGTCAGAGATCGAAAAACTTTAGCATGAGTTCAGCGCTTTGGGTAATGTGGGGCTTACTTTGTGGACATCTTGTTGCGTTTAAGGCACCTAAAAGTTGGCCCAATAAGTTTTTAATTAATGTTTGGGGCGGATTTTCTGTAATTTTTGTTGCAAGCTATACTGCTAATATTGCTGCCTTAATAGCTGGTTTGTTCTTTCAAAATACAGTCAGTAATTACCACGACCGAAGTGTAAGTGCTGGAGTTTTTTTTTTAATTTATTAATTTATTTTAATTTTTATTTATCTTTTAGTTATTAAGTCAAAAAGTTGGAGCTCCAAGGGCTTCTGCTGCAGAATATTATGTACAAAAGGCCAATCAACATCTTTGGCAACACATGAATAGATTTTCTTTATTAAACATAGAAGAAGGAGTGGAAAGGTTAAGAAATGGCTCATTGGATATCTTAATAGCGGATACTCCAATTCTCGACTATTATAGAGCTACAGATCATGGTTGTAAACTTCAAAAAATAGGAGATACTATTAATGAAGATACTTATGCAATTGGTATGACGAAAGGATTTCCATTAAAAGTAAGTTTAATTTTTCTTTTAAAATTATTTATACATAATTTGTGTCTATTTTCAGGATAGTATATCAGCAGTTATTGCCAAGTATTCAAGTAATGGCTATATGGATATTTTACAACAAAAATGGTATGGTGGTTTACCATGTTTTAAATTGGCAACAGATATTGCCCAACCTAGACCTCTTGGAGTGGCTGCAGTTACAGGCGTTTTTATTCTCTTAGGCGTTGGAATGGCATTGGGACTATTAATATTACTAGTTGAACATTTATTTTTTAAATATACATTACCATTATTAAGAGACAAACCAAAAGGTTCAATTTGGAGAAGTAGGAATATAATGTTTTTTAGCCAGGTAGATATTATTACAAAATATATAAACCTACCATAACTATTATATTTTGTTGTAGAAACTATATAGGTTTATTAACTGTGTAGAGCTGGTTTCGCCACATCATGCAGCGAGAGAACTAGTACATACAATACGACAAGGTCAAATAACTAGTTTGTTTCAGAAAAGCATAAAAAGGGTTCGTATATTTTCTTATCGTTAATGTTATTTTTAAAAATTTTAATAACAAATAATAAAAATAAGTAATTGCTTGGCAATTTTTCACAAAAAAATAAAGTAAAACATTACATGAAATATGGCCTTTTGAAATTTTTTGTTAAAGTATTTTATTTGTTTTAATAATATTATAGGGCCTTAAGGTAGGATCTTTATTTGAACAGTTTGATAAATAATTAACAGTAGGCCGTGACAGTAGTAAAAATAAAACGTTTAATTGTAATTAACAAATAAATACTTTATTAAAAATTAAATTATCATTAAAAACTAATAACAATATAAAAAGAAAATATTATATACTTTTTATGTTGGTTTTACTAAATAAGTAACAGTATAATATATTATATTGTTAATTTGTTGTTAATGGCCGAATTAAGGTTTACAACTTTCATATTTTTATGTTTCTTAAGTTGGCAGAACAAAAGAATCAACTTAAGAAACATAAAAATATGAAAGTTTTAAACCTTAATTCGGCCAACAAATTAATAATTTATACTGTTACTTATTTAGTTAAAACAACATAAAAAGTAAATAATATTTAAGTTTAAAAACTAATTTTTGAATGGATCTATGTAAAATAACACTTGTGCAGAAGTTTTATTTCCCACAGATTTTTTATAGATTATTTTAAAAATTCATTTTCAAACTATAGAAACAAAATAGGATCATGTTGATAGCTTAAGTTTATTTTTTGTAAAAATCTCATGAGCGAACTCGTGAGATACAAAATAAAGAAATGGCTTATAAAAACAAATCTAACTTATAAATGTAAATGCAAATATTTTTTTGGAATCTGTGCTGTAAAAAATCTGAAATTATTTGTGAATAAGTCTGATGCCTCACAAAATCATATATTAAATTTTAAAGACATTATATGAAAACTCTTTAAATGGAGACCTTAATAACAAAAAAGTTTCAGAATTTATTATTGTCATTAAACTTATAATTTTTAATTTTATCGTTATAATCATTTATTTAAATAAATAACGTATAAAATTATATTCTCGCATATGTTCTTGATGTTCCTTGTTTCAGAAGGAACATGAACAACGTAGAAGAAGAAAAAGTAAAGCCCAGTTTTTTGAAATGATCCAAGAAATAAGAAGGTAATTTTTAAATTTGAATGGTATAAAATATCCTAAATATAAAGTACAATTCGCAGGCAGCAGCTAGAGGATCGAAAACCTCAGTTAGAATCTGTAACTGAAGTGGATTTGGAATACCAATTATCTCCAGAAGATAAGAAGTTAAGATTAAGCCCCAGCATTATAAAACGAACATTTATGAGATCCAGTCCAAAGGCTGATAATGTAAAAATAAAGTCACCAACTACCCTTTTTAATAAACAACTTTTTAGTCCTCGATCGAAAAATAAAACTAAAAGCCAAACATCGCTTAATGTGCGAAGGTTTAGTACTGACAGTATCTTTAATTCTCATACGATAGATCATAGCACATTGGTAGGAAGAAGATTAAGCAAAGATGCTTCAGCTTTTTTATCAAGTAGTCCACCCGATATAAATAGTCGAAGATCTAGTTATTTAGATATAATCAATTCAGGAAATAAACTAGGAGGAAAAAGTCCTGTTTTATCCATAGAGAATATATCAGATTCTAGTTCAAGGGCGTCTGAACCATTAAGGAAACTTTCTGATTCAGAAAGTATTGGTAAAAAACTAGCCACGTTTCCAAAATATAAAGATCCTATAAATAAACAACGACTTCACCCGCAACATAGTTTTGGGACATTGGGAAGAAGCGAAGAACCTTTAGATACGTCCGAGATTCATTCTGTCTCAGTACCATCGGCACAAGGTGTTAATAATATTTGTGAAACAACTAACGAGGATAAATGTAATTTATCTGATAATGAAATTGCTAAGAGAAATAAAGTTACTATAAAGGAATTGCAATTTCAAATTAATAAAAATAATGGAAAACAGTTAAGAGACAATAAGGCTCAACTAAACATGAATCCTCAAATTCGTATTCAAGTGGAAGATACAACTAAGTCAGAATATAGTCGGCATCCGCCTTTAACCCGTAGAAACAAAACAAGACATCAAAGTTTGGGAGAACCTGCCAATACAAATCCTCCTGAACCAAAAAAACGAAGTAAGCTAAAAGAACAATCAAAATCACTGGATAGCAATACGTCTGAAAAGCCTTTAAGATCTCGCACAAGAATCCGTGTTGAAGATCTACCTCCAGCACCTCCTCCACCAAATTGTTCCCCCAGAAACTCAAACGGAAAATCACCTTTGGAAAGGTTATCTAAAGATGAATTGGTTCTACTTTGGAAAAGTTCAGAATCGGAACTAAGGAGTCACCTCTTAAAAGCAATAAGGGATAAGGAAGAACCTTCAGATCCTACTTGAATAAAAATTATTCAAATTTAATGATTTTCAAAAAATATTTGTGCCAAACTTTGGCAAATAACATTCATACATACCTAAATTAGGATTATGATAATTAAATTATGACAAAAACTAGCATAATTTAAGTCTTTATAATATGTCGTTAATTCAGATTTAGGCACGATATGGGATTGGTGCTTAAGAGTTTGAATAAACGGCCTTAGATTAGTAGAGTGATAAAAACGACCACTAAGTGTTATTAGAAGCCTTTATCTTTAGAGGTTATATACCTCAGCGCCTTTTAACTAGGACTGGTTCTAATAGATTTACTTCATACATTTCATTAATTATTTTACTTACAGACATTTGTCACTGTATCTTACTTATTCAGGTTATTTAAAGGGACATAAGGGACGCATTCGCATTTTTTAATTAAAATAATACTAATAGGATCCATTGTAAATTTTATATAATTTAGTTATATTGAATAATTAGTTTAAACTTAAAATTAAATATTAAAAGCAGCAAAATCTGAACCCAGATTGAAGGGTAACACAAATTAAAGATTATAAATACAATTATATTAAAAAAAAATCAAAAAATATAAGTATTTTAAACTATAATACACTGCGCGTCAAAATTAACGCATAATAAGTAAAAAAATTCTAACGCCTAACCAATCTTTATGAAATTTTGTATTAAAATACTTCAACTTATATCTCAGTTTACGTGTTCGAGGGTTTTTCGAAAAAATATTTTTAAGGCCCTTTTATTTAATAATAAAAATTATGCTGTTAAAGACCGTATTTTTGTTAGTATACCCTGAAACTTTTGTACAAATCAAACGAACAGTAACGAAGATACATCGCTTGAAAGTCGGTAAAAATTACCCCTTTTTGATTATTTTGCTGAAGAGTGGTCATTTTTGACGACTTTGAAGCGCTGTATTTTTGTTACTGTTTGTTTGATTTGTACAAAATGTTCAGGGTATACTAACAAAAATACGGTATTTCACAGGATATTTTTTATTTACTTAAAAAAAATTTCCCTATAAAAGTTTTTTTTTTGATCGTTTAAGGGATATTTTCCCGACTATTTCCCTCGTCTTAATTTCCACCAATCACAAACGCGCAATTTTGAATTACAAATGGTTTCTAGGTGAAAAAACTGTGTGACAGCACCTGTCAGCAGTTTATTCGAGCTGTTGTCACCAAAAATTGCAATTTATATTTTAATTGTTAACTGTTACTCATGAAATAGTCTTGTTAAATACCATTCGGGCATCTAATTTTTCCTGTGAAAAAAATCGAAAAAACACAATGCTAAGTAATATTTTTTAACAAAAAGCATTCGTGCAGGTGCAAAAATCCTCCTCTTCGACTCGGATTTTTGTTGCCACCAGCACTCATGCTTTTTGTTAAAATATTACTTAGCAACGTGTTTTTTCGATTCTTTTCGGAAAAATTAAATGCCCTTATGATATTACTTACGAAAATCCCTTGAACACTTAAACTGAGATATAAGTTAAAGTATTTTTATCCAAAATTTTATAAAGATTGGTAAAGGCGTTTTAGAGTTGGATTTTTTAAAATTGTTATGCGTTAATTTTGACGCGCAGTGTATATTACAAACTAGGAAGTATTATAAAAATATTAAAAAGGACCTACTGCGAGTATAAATGAAATAAAATATTAAACTTGAAATCGAATAATTATTCAATATTTTATAATAATACTATTTGGAAAATATTTCCTTATAACATAACCTTTAAAATACTTTAAAAATGTGAACTCAATAATTAACCCTCCATCCGGTGCGCGACTAGTATGAACGCCGTTAGGTGCACAGGCTTCGACCATATCCCAATTTGCAACGCATATAAAAATGCATTTTTTTTAAGTTATTCTTATACACATTGCATATAAATTAGTCTATATCTATATCCATAAATTATGTTAAAGAATTTCCATGAATATGCTGACTGAAACCCAACCTATAGACTCAGCATACGAACTTATAAAAGTACTTGTTCTACACAATTTAAAACATCCTTTGTTTTACTGTAAAACTATAAACATTAAAAATATATTTTTTAAACTCGTTTGTAATTTCCGAAAATATAATTGGCGCAGTCGTTGTAGGATTGGTGCAAACGATTTTCAATTATAGCAAACCTGTGTTTTAACACTTCAAAGTGCCAACGAACCAAGAACTTTAACAAAACAGTGAACAACCGGTCCGGAATTGATTGAAAGAAGTTTCTAGAAATGGAGCGACTTTCAGGCAAAACGACCAGGACCTCCAGAGTATGTTGCTATTGTTTTGGTAAGTCATAGATGTCAACCAATTTTACTAATTCAGACTCGAATAATTCAAGTCACCAGGTTTTTATGGTAATTAGGCAATCTTGAGTCAATTTATCACTGCCAATGAGCAGATTAACATTAAAAAAGATTAACCTGAAGATTTCCTATTTAATTAAATGTATTAAAAATAAAATTAAAGACAATGCTATAGAGCAAATAGCTTCATTTAATATTAAAACATGGGACGACTTAAAGAAAGCTCTTCTAGCTACATATGCTGATAAACGCTATATTTCAGTGGCGGCTCGTGGCAGTAAAATTTGTGAGTTCTGCCAGTGGGGTTTAAAAAAATGTGGCGCAGTACCATTTAATTAAATGGTACCTACAGTTAATTAATTAAATCATAATTAAATCATACACCACATTCATTCTTACAAAAGAATACAACAACAAACACAAAAATACACCGAATTAACAGTCTTCTAGTTAAAATAACAAACGTGAACGCGAAGCGAAAAACAAACGTTAATTAATTAAATCATAATTAAATCATACACCACATTCATTCTTACAAAAGAATACAACAACAAACACAAAAATACACCGAATTAACAGTCTTCTAGTTAAAATAACAAACGTGAACGCGAAGCGAAAAACAAACGTAGGAACTGTATGTTGGTGCAGCTCCGGTTTGGCTTAAATTACGCTATCTCAACCCAGGACCAAGAGAGGCGCGGAGCAAAATTACGGTATTGAAATGGGAGCCAGAACTCGAATGTGGCCCAGCTTTGTTGTGTTGTAAGCGTTAAGCGTTAGAGACCTTTACCGGTCGTTTGGATGACTGTAGTGGCCAAGTACGGCGAATGTTTATAATAAAAACTTTTTATGCAGCCATGCGTTTGAAATATTCATGCTTATATTCGCACTTAAATATTAAATAATTAAAAAATTAGTCAAGTAATAAGAAAATTTTGGGAGTTCTGCAGCTCTGCAGCCCTTATGCACTAGCCGCCCCTGCTATATTTAAACACTTATAATTCAACTATGTAACTTAAGGCAAGGTAATATGAAACCGCTTGAATTTTATAATAAAATACAAGAAAACATTAAAATACAAGTTAGTTATATTAACGGTTAAGTGGAAGAACAGATGTTTTCTTTTAAACACGCTGAACTTCGCCGTTTGAAAATGTAAAATGTTTCAATAAAGACTTATATTATTATTATTATTATTATTATTATTATTATTATTATTATTATTATTATTATTATTATTATTATTATTATTATTATTATTATTATTATTATTATTATTATTATTATTATTATTATTATTATTATTATTATTATTATTATTATTATTATTATTAATACACATGGTGAAGCCAAGGAAGTAGATGTAAAAGGGGGACTTTGTGACAATCTGTGACTATGTCACAGAAGCCCCCTGCATGCAAAAGAATAGGATGGGGATTGAAAAACATGATAAATAAATTTTTTGTCATAGAATCCCCATCCATGTAAAAGAATAGGATGGGGATTGTAAAACAATGATTGCCTGTGTCACAGTATCACCCTGCATGCAAATGAATAGGATGGGGATTCTATGATAAATAAATTTTTTTGTCATAGAATCCCCATACATGTAAAAGAATAGGATGGTGATTGTAAAACAATGATTGTATGTGTCATAGAATCACCTCCTATGCAAATGAATAGGATGGGGGTTGAAAAACAAAAATAAATGCTTCTCAACTCTTATGGAATGTTTGATCGGGTTAATCGGGCACAATGTACTCCGATCCTACCCAAATTAATTATATGTTATTAATAAAAAATATTTTCTTTTTACTATTTCGATTTACCTCGTATAAGTTAAAGTTATGAAACTTGGACCAGTATCTGTTTAAATGCAACATTCGAAAAGAATGCGAGTCGAGGTCGGTTTTGTGTTTTACCTCGCTTTAAAAATTCAGTATCTTTTTACCTGTTCTTAAATAAGGTCAAGTTAACAGTAGGTACTTATAAATAAATGTTTGTTTTGCAGTGTAAGTCGTGTAAGTGTATGTGTTACAATGGAACAACTCAAGCATATTAAATTTGTAAGTGAAAAATTGTTTAATGTAATTGAACCATCAACGCTACTTAATAATAGAGTTTTTATGCATGTTATAAACAAATTAAAATTATTTACAAATAATAAACGTAGAGTCTTCCTGACCGGTGGATATTTATGTTTTTTGTTAAATTTGAGTAATTCATATAACGACATCGATTTTTTCTTTGAGGGGGATGTACATCCTGGTGATTTTGAATTATGGAAATCACGAACAGTTAATAACAAGTATAACGAAGATCGCTTTAAATGTGTTTATTTTAAAGAAGATGGTATTTTATATAATTTTATCTACTTGAAAGACTTTTCTTTTTTAACAACTATGGAACAATTTATAACATCAATTTTAAATAGCTTTGATATGGATTTTTGTAAGAATGCAATTTATTTAGAACCTTATCATAACGGATTTAATTTTTATCTTATTAGATTTAATTTTTGCGATATGTGGGTTCGTGATAACCTTAATATAAATTCTAGAATGGACAAGTATTTAAATCGACTAAATAACTTTGATCTTTATATTGGAAATCCACAAAAATTATCTTTATTAAGTTTGTTGGAAGTTTCTAAAACGCAGGAAAAGGAAGCAAACAAAACTGTTGAAACATTTTTTTAATATCATATTTTATTATATTAATACAGGGTGTAGGGTAAAAACTAAAAAAATAATATTTTATTTTAAATGGTGTAGGGTATACCTATTTTAATTATATTTTATGTTTTAGGA